CTGTCAACAGGTGAAGTACCAGCATCAGAGACCGGGCAGATTGCTTCAGAGGCTTGAGATCTCGAAGTGGAAATGGGAGTGTATTACCATGGATATTTTAATTGGGCTCCCACGGACTTCGAGGAAGTATGATTCTATTTAGGTGATTGTGGATCGGTTGACCAAGTCCGCGCATTTCATTCCAGTTGGGACTACTTATTATTCGGAGCGGTTGGCTGAGATTTACATTTGCGAGATGGTTCGCCTTCACGGTATACCGGTGTACATCATTTCAAATTGGGGCATATAGTTTACATCGTAGTTTTGGAGAGCAGTGCAGTGAGAGTTGGGCACACAGGTTGAGTTGAGTACAACATTCCACCCTCAGACGGACAGATAGTCCGAACGCACAATTCAAATATTGGAGGATATGCTACACGCTTGTGTCATAAATTTCGGGGGTTCTTGGGATAAGTTTCTGCCGCTTGCAGAGTTTGCCTACAACAACAGCTGCCAATCGAGCATTCAGATGGATCCATATGTGGCTTTGTACGGGAGACGGTGTCGGTCTCCATTGCGATGGTTTGAGCCGGGTGAGGCTAGGTTGTTGGGTACTGACTTCATTCAGGATGCTTTGGATAAGGTTAAGGTTATTTAGGATCGGCTTCGCACGGCGCAGTCTAGACAGAAGAGCTACGCCGATCGGAAAGTTCGTGATGTTGCTTACATGGTTGGGGAGAAGGCATTACTCATAGTTTCACCCATGAAGGGTGTTGTGAGGTTTGGGAAGAAGGACAAGTTGAGCCCTTGGTACATTGGTCCATTTGAGGTGCTTCAGAGGATTGGAGATGTGGCTTACAAGTTTGCCTTGCCGCCTAGTCTGCTGAGTGTTCATCTAGTGTTTCAGATGTTTCGATGCTTCGGAAGTATGTCGGAGATCCATCTCATGTTTTGGATTTCAGCACGGTTCAGTTGGATGGTGATTTGACATATGATGTGGAGCCGGTGGCCATTCTGGATCGGCAGGTTCGAAAGTTGAAGTCAAAGAACATAGTTTCAATGAAGGTGCAGTGGAGAGGTCAGCCAGTCGAGGAGACTTGGAAGACCGAGCGGGAGATAAGGAGCAGATATCCACGCATATTTGAGACTCCAGGTATGTTTCTAGACCCGTTCGAGGATGAACGTTTGTTTAAGAGGGGGGATGTAACGACCCGATCGGTCGTTTTGAGTGTTGTAGCCCCGTTCCCCCATTTACTGCTTATTTTATGCTCAATTGTCGTTATGTAACTTGCCGAGGTAGTTGGTTCGGTTCCGGGGATGTTTCGGAATGGGTTGAGACACTTAGTCTCAAGGTTGGAAGCTTAAGTTGAAAAGGTTGACCGGATGTTGACTTATGCGTAATGCCTCCAAAATAACGTTTTGATGGTTCCGATAGCTCCGTTGGGTGATTTGGGACTTAGGAGTGTGTCCGGATAATGATTTGGAGGTCCGTAGTCGATTTGGCTTGAAATGGTCAAAGTTGGAAAATAGATGTTTTGGAAATTGAGAAGTTTGACTGAGAGTTGACTTTGTTTTTACCGAGCTCGGATTTTAGTTCTGGAAGTTGGAATAGGTCTGTTGTGTTATTTATGACTTGTGTGCAAAATATGAGGTCAATCCGAATTGATTTGATAGGTTTCGGCATCGAATGTAGAAGTTAGAAGTTCATAAGTTCCTTAGGCTTGAATTGAGTTCGATTCGCGTTTTTGATGTTGTTTGATGTGATTTCAGACCTCGACTAAGTTCGAATGATGTTTTAGGACTTGTTAGTATATTTGTTTTAGGTCCCGGGGGCCTCGGGTGGATTTCGGATGGTTAACGAAGTGAAATAGGACCTTGGAAGATTGCTGAAGTTTGCTGGTGTATAGGTCTGGTTTTCTTATGCGCGATCGCGTGGGAAGGTTCGCGATCGCGTAGGCTTATTTTTGGGCAGGTGAGGTCTTGCTCTATCCGATCGCTAGTTTTAGTCTACAATTGCATAAGCTGGAGGAAGCAATGAATCGCGAACGCGTGGGCTAAGCCGCGTTCGCGAAGAGGAAATGAAGGAGGAGCTGGTCACGGGCGTTGTTCTATGCAAACACGTAGGTCTGTCCGCAATCACGTAGGCCTGGGGAACCTATGCGTCGCATATGTGTGGGTTTTTATGTGATCACGTATAGTTGATTTCTAGGGCAGTTTAGTTTGTGCATCGCGATCACGAAGCTTTTCCCGTGATTGCGGAGAAGGGACATCTGGGCAGAATTTAAAGTCTAAAAAATGAGGGTTTGAGTTTATTTCACAATTTGATTTTGAGAGCTCAGATTGAGGCAACTCTTGGAGAGATTTTCAAGGCAGTGATTAGGGTAAGTGATTCTTACTTGATTTTGGTTAAATTACATGTATATATCTTTGATTTCATCACTTAATTAGTGATTTGGATTGAAAATTTTGCGAAAAATAGAAAAAACTTCTTAGGCCGAATTTTGGGGATTTGAGCGAGATTTTGGTGTCGGCTTTGAGTAATTTGGTATGGTTGGACTCATGGTTAGATGGGTATTTGAATTTTGTAACTTTCATTAGATTCCGAGAAGTGGGTTCGGGGGTTGACTTATGAGTTGACTTTTTGACTTTTGATTAGGAACTTAGCATTTTTCATATGGAATTAATTCCTATAGCTTGAGTTGATTGTATCGAATTGTTTGTGGCTAGATTCGAGGCATTCAGAGGCTGATTCGCGAGGCAAGGGCTTGTTGGAGTAGAGATTTGCACGGTTTGAGGTAAGTAACACTTCTAAACTTGGTTATGAGTGTATGAATCCCTGAAATTACATGCTATGTGATTGGTGTTGAGGTGACGCGCATGCTAGGTGACGGGCGCGTGGGCGTGCACTGTAATAATTGTGATTCGGTCAATTATTTGGAACCGTGTAGCTATCATATCTGAATATTATTACTGTATGTGTTAGGGCACTTGAGTTGTGATTTATGTTAGAAATCATGTTTAGGCTATGTGCTGGTACTATTGGGACCCATAGTGGTCGTTCTTTGCTGTTGAGTTATTTTCTTAATTACAGTTATGTACTTAGTCGCATTCATCATTGCATATCATATTTCAGTTTCGGTTATCATGTATTGTCACATCATGTATCATTGATTGATTCGGGCTGCTTATCATAAGTGTTGTGAGCCCGAGAGACTAGAGAGATTGATGATTGAGTGATGTTGAGGGCCTGTTTGTGAGTGATATTTATGCGATCAGGCTGCACGCCGCAGCAGACTTTATTGATTCATGCCATGATTGGCTTATTATAGCGCTTGGCCTGGATCTGCCCCTCCGGAGTTTGCACACCCACAATGAGCGCAGTTGCTATTGATTTACGATGGGATCAGGCTACGTGCCGCAGTAGGATTCATTAGCTTTGGGCTGGATCTGCCCTGTACAGTGCTGAGTGATTGAGTGTGATGAGTGAGAATTGAGACCGTTAGGTTGAGTACTCTGAGAGTGTGAGTGCGCGAGGCTTCCATTGCATTGCATCACATACGATGTGCATATTGGCATGTAGATATAGAGATTTTATATTCCTCATATCTTTCAGACTTGACATATTTTATCTGTTTGAGTTTAACTGTCACACCTGGTAGCATGTCTATATTCCTGTACTGGTACCTACAGATTATGAGTTTTTCTGAGATATTATTGTCATATGTTCTATAAATTTCCGTATTGTTTTATTCTGTACTTGGACCTTGTTGTTCGGACTCGTTACTACTTTCAATCCAAAGGTTAGACTTGTTACCTATTGAGTTGGTTGTACTCGCGCTACACCCTGCACTTTGTGTGCAGATCCAGGTGTTTCCGGGCACGGTGGTTGCTGATCTTGGTGTTTCAGCTGTTCGGAGATTATCGAGGTAGCTGCCTTGGTGTCCGCAAACCTTGACTCTCCTCCCTTATCTCTTAGTTTTACTTATTCTGTTCTACTTACTTAGACAGGGTATCAGACTATGTTATTATGTAGATGCTCATGTACTCAGTGACACTCGGGTTTTGGGAAAATTCTATATTGAGCTATGACATTTTTATGAGACTTTTACTTACTTAAGCTTTTTTCCTTATATTTTAAATTTCAAGATGTTGGTATCTGTGAGTTGTCGGCTTGCCTAGTATCATGATAGGCGCCATCACGACACTTGGAATTTTGGGTCGTGACAGAAAAATTGAGAAATAGAACCATCGAATCCTACTAGCAACATGTACCAGATAAACTATCCATCAAAAGCTTGAACCTGAGACGTCATGATTCTAACATAGTTCATTGACCACTAGGGAACACCCTTGGGTGCTTGACCATGTACTTAACGGTATGAAAGATTGTCAAATATTTCATACGACTAATCTAACAAATGTACAACTCGCGGCAATGCTGTCTATGATTTGGGTAGTAGAATTTGTTCGGATCCATTATGGCAAACTGTGTAGACCTGTAATTGGGAAAAGGGCTAAATATGTTCTATATCTTCCTCGTGCTCTCTGAGATCAAAGTAAAGTATGTATGTTTATTTCTACTATTACAAAAATTAAAAAATAACATGTACACAACCAAATGTATATCCATACGGTCATCATATTGAGGCATTTAATAGATTAATAAAACAATAGCCCTAATTTTTTCTTTAGAAAATAAAATATCTTAATGGTCACAGCTTGTCTTATTCACATGTTATGCCTGGTGGGGTATAAATTTGGTACAAATTGTTTACAGAGTTCTATCGCTTTATGTTGTTCATAAGTAATGGTAGGTTGGCATAACTGGTACAAATTGTTCACAAGTTCTGCCGAATTAGCAAAATTTGTCTGTGTTGTTTATTTATAGCTAACGAGTATAGTTTTTTCGTGAACTCATTTGACGAAAATTCACTTCTCTAAAATATTGAACCCCTTGCTCAGAATCCTGGATCCGTCACCGGTGGCAACTCCAACTATATTATTGTAGCTAGAATGGCCTATAAGGCAAATACTTAGGAGATCTCACTCCAATGCATTTGGTTCTTTTATGACATGCATGCATAAAAAGTCAGATATCAAGTACTAGCCTCCTTCCTAGGCTGCTCCTACATATGAATATATCAACAAAATATCAAGCTATTCAAGTTTCTGTATTCTTTAGAAATCTACACAAACACCTATATTGCTCGGACTCTTCAAAAATATTGCTAGGTGCATGTCGTCGAATCCATAAAAAATAATGCTTTTTTTTTTTAAAGATCCGACACGGATGTGACACTATTTTTGGAGAGTCCGAGCAGTATTGACAAACACAATGTGCCATCTCTTAGGTTGCACTTGATGAATAAGAAGGCAAAGAAAGAGAGAGCATTGTGTTTATTGTTGAATCTGATTCCTTCTTACTATGCTGAATTTGCTCCTTATTATTGTCTACTGTGCTCAGTCCTAGTTGCAAATCAGGCAACCAATCTTTTTCACTTAACCTCTTATCTCTTTTCATCTGCACGTCAAAATTGATATAAGAATTAAAGCAACAATTAAAACAAGTGGAAAATTCTCCATTTTGACAAGTGAATTATTGCTTAGCAACAACAAAACAATTTTCATACTTAGCTTATTAACCTTTGATAGCATAAACTAATTATACAAGTTAAACTAATTGAATGCTCTAATTATAAGGGTTTAACTTGTATACACCAAGGGGTAGTCCGGCAGGAAAACAAGTTATCCCAGGATTAATTATCCTGGGATTGTTATTCCGCCTTCCCATAGGGATAAAAACACACTACAGTCCCACGATAACTAATCTTGGGGATTAGTTATACCGTGATTTTATCTCAACCAAACGTGGGATAAACTAATCTCAAATTTAATATGGGATTAATTATCCCTTATTCTTCGCACAAAACGAGCCCTAACAATATAAAATTTATTATATTATTAGTAATTTAATGTGTTATAGCTGAATGCATGCATTATGTCTTCCTGGTAACTCATTCTACTTATTATTACGAGTAGTTACTTGTAATTGTCTTTTAAGTGACCTACTAGCATAAAAATTTTGTTACACATAGAAGTAAAACTACAAACTAAATCTGAAAAAATTTACCTCGGGTCTGAAAGGAGTCTCAAATTTTGGCTCAAGGCTATTATATCTCCACCTCCACTTGGGTTGTTGTACAAAATTGTTTTGTTGAAACAAAGATTGAGAATTCTTGTTGGAGGAAATATTTGACAAAGAAACCCTCTTTTCCTTCCAATATTGATTTTCCTTAAATTCACTAATTGGAGGCCACCTTTTTTCTTCAAGAAAATGGCTTTGTCTAACAGGACCAATTTCATGGTTTCCATTTTGCAAGATTTTCATTCTGAACAAATTGTTGGTTCCTTGATTAGAAGTCCATTCCAAATATCTGTATATATGAGGAAATTGAGTAAGAATATGGATAGTTATGGACGTTAGATAAAAGAGAATTTCATGCTTCTCAAAATCTTAAGAGCAATGCAATACATATTACTCCCTCCGTTAATTTTATGTGAATTTATTGTTGGGTTTTTAAGGTATTTAATTAATATATTAAATACTTAAAAGAGGGTGAATGGGAAATGGAGGGAAATGAAATTTTTGAGTGAAATTTTAAGTTCCCCCTCCCTTGGCAAATGGGCATTGTCCATATTGGAAGAGGAAGAGGTTTTTTATGGGTATATAAGCAATTGCTCTTCTTCTAGCTCTTAAAGAGTTGAGAAGAAGGCAAGCCTCGCGCCGTCGTCGTCGTCGCTCGCTCGGCTTCGGCTTCGGCTTCGGCTTCGGAATTGATTGATTAACTTTTTGGACTTGTTAATAGTAAAATATTAACAGAAATGTTATTAAATATTTGTTTTAATAACAAAATATTAATATTAAATATTAATATTAAATCCAATCCGTTTTTCTGTTTTGGTAACAGAAAAGTAACTACCCTCTTCAATTTTTCCTCTTTATTTTCCCTCTTTATTATTGAGTAAATGGCCATTTATGTAATGGCATTTATATTATGGGCGTTTTGCATAAACAGCCATTCTGAAGAGACCCAACTTTGGCTATAAATACAACACTATTCTGCTCAGAATTTTAACTACAATTTTCTGAGTTTCCTCTCCTTCTTCTGCATACTTTTAGCATCAAAACAAAGCAAAAAGTAAGTGTGATTTGCTACCGAACTTTGTGTTTGCTGAAACACTGGGGTTTGAAGTACCACTACACCAGTGTGTAATTCGTTCTATCCTGGGAGGAAATAATCCATAACCTTGGGTACTAGGAGGGGATTAAATTCCTTAAGGAAACACTGTGAATTCAGTGGGCTCGAATTGGTTTATGTCATTTCTGTTTATATTCATTACTGTTTATATTCATTTATATTTCCAGAATTTATTTTACAAATACAGTGTAATAACAGGGATGTGATGGTACGTCAAATTCAACTAACATCTCATAAAAAATACAACATGGTATTTAGGAAAACATGAATAAGATCAAATGTCAACCCTGTTGCAACAGATAAACAACATCAAGAACGACACCCAAGGGCGTACNAAATCTTAAGAGCAATGCAATACATATTACTCCCTCCGTTAATTTTATGTGAATTTATTGTTGGGTTTTTAAGGTATTTAATTAATATATTAAATACTTAAAAGAGGGTGAATGGGAAATGGAGGGAAATGAAATTTTTGAGTGAAATTTTAAGTTCCCCCTCCCTTGGCAAATGGGCATTGTCCCATATTGGAAGAGGAAGAGGTTTTTTATGGGTATATAAGCAATTGCTCTTCTTCTAGCTCTTAAAGAGTTGAGAAGAAGGCAAGCCTCGCGCCGTCGTCGTCGTCGCTCGCTCGGCTCGGCTACGGCTACGGCTTCGGCTTCGGCTTCGGCTTCGGATTCGGATTCGAATTCGAATTCGGATTCGGATTCGGATTTGGATTTGGTCAAATGATCGATTGATTGATTAACTTTTTGGACCAAATTTATTTGTTAATAGTAAAATATTAACAGAAATGTTATTAAATATTTGTTTTAATAACAAAATATTAATATTAAATATTAATATTAAATCCAATCCGTTTTTCTGTTTTGGTAACAGAAAAGTAACTACCCTCTTCAATTTTTCCTCTTTATTTTCCCTCTTTATTATTGAGTAAATGGCCATTTATGTAATGGCATTTATATTGTGTGCGTTTTGCATAAACAGCCATTCTGAAGAGACCCAACTTTGGCTATAAATACAACACTATTCTGCTCAGAATTTTAACTACAATTTTCTGAGTTTCCTCTCCTTCTTCTGCATACTTTTAGCATCAAAACAAAGCAAAAAGTAAGTGTGATTTGCTACCGAACTTTGTGTTTGCTGAAACACTGGGGTTTGAAGTACCACTACACCAGTGTGTAATTCGTTCTATCCTGGGAGAAAATAATCCATAACCTTGGGTACTAGGAGGGGATTAAATTCCTTAAGGAAACACTGTGAATTCAGTGGGCTCGAATTGGTTTATGTCATTTCTGTTTATATTCATTACTGTTTATATTCATTACTGTTTATATTCATTTATATTTCCAGAATTTATTTTACAAATACAGTGTAATAACATTTATTTGGATGAGCACGAAATATTAGAAAGAAAGAAAAACTTTTGAAATTTTCAGTCGTAAACATGACATGATATTAGTGCAGCTATAAATCATGTTAATAAGGATATATAAAATGAAAAAGGTTAAAGTTAAATAATTTCAAATATAGAAAGTTATCATTCTTTTACTAGTGACAAAGAAAAATAGTGTAACATAAAATTGAATAATTTTTTAGGGGCGCTAGGTCTGCGCTGTAATGCAATGCCTAGGCGACGCGCGAAGGCCGAGGTAGCAAGCTAACCTAATGGGCCTTCTCCCTTAGAAAATGAGTTATATCGCGTGGGTCGATGACCCACATATCAGATATTAAACTGATAAGAACAGATGCTATAGTTGATCTTAGCCAAAAGGCCGAGAAAGGTATAATAAAATGGAATAGAGGGAATACTAATTAACTAGGTCACCTGGAAATTTTTTCCTTTGTCTCATGTCGAGGTCTTGCAAATGAATTTTGGAAATGGTGGTTCACGTTGTCATCATCATTAAAATTTCTTGCTAATACAATTGCACCATTCTTCATTTTGAAGTCTTGAATAGGATTAAATCTTTGGCTTAGATTTCCATAGAAATAACTTTTTCCTTGCATTGCTCTATGACCATGGCCAAGTACTGTCAAAAAGAAGCACCATAAAAGTTCAATAGCTTGTATATCACTGAAAAATACAAAAAGGGCCTACAGAAATTAGATGTATACTCAGAGGCGGGGCCAGAATTTAAACATATCGTTTGAACTTAATACTACTTTGAGTGGTGTGCGGAGCTAGGTGAAGTGAACGAGATTCAATTCTCTTTATCGGAAAATTAAATTGTGGAACTCTTTTTTTATATATAAACTATTGAATGTCCTTCACATAAGCAAAATAGTCTAGTGTAATGATAAAGGGATTCAAAAGTTGCTTTAAATTTTAGATCCCAACTATATATATATATATATATATGACAATCTAGTAATTTTTTAAATTACCTTGGAATATGAATTTTTTGCACTACCACTGATCCTACTGCCTATCTTAAGAGTTGCATAATATTAATGATAAAAAGTTAGCCGCTAAAAATTAAAATGAGAATTCATATTACTTAGTATGAATTGCTAGTAATTTTTTAAGTTACATTGGAGTATAAATTTTTGGCTCCACTACTGATTCTACTTCCTATCTCAAGAATTTGAGTAATATTAGCGATAAACACTTACCCGCTAAAAATTAAAGTAAGAATACATATTACTCCCTTAGTATTAATATGTGTATGAAAAGACAGTCATGCATTCGTTGAATCTCCTTGTATAAATTTTTGGCTCAGCTACTCAGTGACTTTTCATATCTTAAGATATGAATAATGCTTAGGAAAAGCTTGTAGTAAGACATGCATAAGTTATAGCCCAAAAGAAGGAAAAACTTGCAATTTTTTTGAGGATTTTATATTACCTTGTCCAAACTCTCCAAGTTTCTTGCTTCGATACATCTGCAGATGACTTTTTACATGAGCAATGCTGAGTCCTCTCACATTCATCGTCTGAAGAACCAATTTTGGAGTAGCTCCTACAAATACGAAGTACAGAATTTAACAAACAAAAAAAAAAAAAAAAAAAAAAGCGTCCGGGGTCTTTTAAGAAAGAACGTCTTAATATCATGTTTACACCGATCAGGTTTAAAAAAGTCGATGTTTAAACAAGAGGGAATAAAATTGATCGATGATAGGTTATACCATATGCTTGACATCAATGAGTTGAAAATGACCATTAATCGATAAAAAATTATTTTTTTCTATCAGTTTTTTGAAATTACCTCGTATATAAAAACTCTATAGCAAGACTTTCATTTTTTTCTATTTAATAAATGGTGAAAGACGTTTATTTTAGTACAAAAAATGTGTTACTATTATTGAAATTATAGGAGGGCAATAGATATGGTGTATAATCTTTCATATGAGATCCCAAGTAAATTGTCTTGATGACCTTCTAATTAAAACCTTTATCCATTCCCTCTTATCCTTATTGAGCCAATGCAAATATATCCATTTTTTAGGTGTATAATTTCTACAAGCTAATATTGCAAAATATAAAATAAGAAAAAATACACACACATCACTTGAAAAATTACTACCCACTCCATCCCAATTTAGGTGAAGGTATTCAGATTTTAAGAATCAAACAAATTATACTTTATATGCCTTTTAATTAAATATTTTGAATTATTAATTATTATGACTTAGTATTACTTTTTACGTAGTTTTGCAAATAAGTAAATTTTATTTTAAAAAATAAAAAGATTCTACGTTCAAATGTAAAATGTTTGAATTTCGAAAAACGAAATGTGTAAGATAAATTGTGATAAAGAGATTATATATAACCGTTCATATTAAGTGCGACTACATATTATATTCTACTGATAGTGTGAAAATTCTTACACTACGTGATGATATACAGTCAAACTTTTCTATAACAGTCTCGTTTGTTCCGGATATTTTTGGATGTTATAGTGAATTGCAGTTATAGAGAACATATATTATGACAAAACATAACATTTAGTTCCAAAAAAAACTTTGCTTTTACAGTGAAGTGATGTTATATAAGGATGACGTTATAGGGAGGTTTGACGGTATATAATTTAAATCATTTTTTTAAATGCAAATACACCTAAATTTAAATTAAGAAGTAGGTATATGACTTACTTTCTTGACCACCTAATCTTTCAATGGCACGAACAAAAGAGAGATGAAGGTCAGGAGTCCAACGAAGCCTTGGCAATTTTGATCGAACATATTGCCTAACTCTGTTGCTCTTGTTTTCATAGTTTCCAATATCCTCAGAGCTACTGTTTCCTTCTGCTGTTTTCTCAATCATGTCATCAGTTTCCCTTTTGTTATTAGCTTCTTCATTCAAATCAATGGAATATGACATTTTTTCCATGTATTGCTCACTTGCTATTAGCCTTAGTCAAACATAACAGGCCTGAATTGGTGCATCTACAAAACAAAATATAGGAATCAATATGTTGGAATAAAAGTAAAACAAATCGAAATAAGAGAATTAAACAACTGCGTATGCTTCAGTCTTAAACAAGTTCAGGTTGATTATATGAGTCCGTATTGACCATGTTACTCTATTTAATCACATCATGATGCCAAATGTTATACACATACAAAGTATTAGGAATTCTCTGTATTTTTGAAATCTACAAATTGACATAAGAGAATATTTGTGGTGTATAGAGCATAAAGTACCACGTAAAGCCTACAACATGAAATTTCAATTCTAGTGAACAATGCACCTTTTAAGTGTTTTTTCTTTGGGAGAGGAAATTCTATATCTATTTCATCATCTGACATGTAAATATATTGCTCCGTACGTCTTGAAAGAAATGGCATGATTAGGAAATGAGGATTAACTTGTTTATTGTTTGTAGTTAAATCACATACCAATTTCTATGCTTTTAAAATAAATTTTGCTTATTTAAAAATTCCATAAATCACAATCATTTGTAAGAAACTTGCAAGATCCAAAACGAGGAGAACCAAGAAAGCATGATGGAAAACTCATCGGAATCTGAACTCACAGACCAAGAGAAGGACCAACTAAATCGTAGCATCGACAAATCTAAGGAAGCTATGGACGAAGATAAAGAAAACAACACTAAACATCTCAACACACTCAAAAGCAAGGTAAGTTTTCGCGACACACTATCCCCACCCCCTCTTCGTCCAATCAACACCAACCTAGAAGCTGATTTCTTGAAAAAATTCAACATAGATGATGAAAACTCTAACCCCTCTAATCATCCGTTTTTTATCCCAATTTTCTCAAATGAAAATCTAAGACTTTACAGCCCGTGGCATCAAGCTATTATCATCAAACTCTTAGGAAAAAAAGTTTCCTACATAAATCTCAAACTCTAACTAAATAAACAATGGCGACTAGATGAAACCCTTCAATTAATAGACTTAGGCTATGAATACTATCTAATCAAATTACAGAATATCGAAAACTTCAATAAAATACTCCAAAATGGACCTTGGTTCATAGGATCCCAATATCTCACTGTACGTCAATGGGAACCCAAATTTAGTCCAGTCCTAGCTCACACGAACTATGACACTGTGTGGATCCGTCTACAGGAACTACCCACTGAATACTACGATATTTAAATCCTCAAAAAAATAGCTGATTTTATAGGAACACTAAAAATCGACACATGCACAATTCATACATCCAGAGGCCGTTATGCCAGACTTTGTATCTTAGCTCCACTAGGTAAAACCCTCCCATCCGAAATTCTCCTTGGTACACACACTCAACCAATTTACTTTGAAGACTTTACTATAATCTGTACCAAATGCGAATGTTTAGGGCATAACCTCCACTATTGTCAAAAAATTTCAACCCCCTCCACTTCGAATCAACCAGAAAAAAAGCCACATGCATCCCCCAGTGAAGATAGCCAAAATAGCCAATGGAAAGCTGTTAACTATACAAAGAACAAAAAACCTACTAACCCTAAGGATAATCAATCTACCCAAACCACCTTCAATAACCAAAATCACCCTCAGCAACCAAACCTCTCTAACAAAAAACCTATGGATCCACTGATCCCACATGATCCCACAAAACCAACCAATACACCGGACCCACCCCATACAAAAAACAATACCACACAAGACAACCCTATACCACCTATAACACAATCAATTCACCCTACCACTAACAAGTCCAAACTATCATCATCACCCCCCCTCCCCCCAATTCCCTACACCCACGCCTACAGTAAACCTAGGAGAAGAAAATCGTCTTTTTAGATCACCCCCCCCCCTTCACCCTCTAATTCGTAAAGCAATGTCCAAACACTTACTTTCAAAACATAATACCAAAAAAAAATAATTTAGGATAGCCAATTATATGGACCCCTACTCGTATGAACACGGCAAACTAAAGGCTAAAGAAAACATAAATACTACTACATCTCTACAAAAATTCATATCTCCTACTACAACACCTAAAACCCAAATTACTTAAATTATACCTCAATCATCATCTCAACCTTCACACTCCTCTGCCTCACCGTCATTTCAACCCAAAGAAACCCCATCCAATAGTACTCCTAAACCCGCAACTCCACAAACACACGACAAACCTTTGCATGCAAACTTGCCAATTCTCTCAACCAATAACAATTGCCTCTACCCACAACCAATCTCTGAAAATCTACCCACCTCAACTCCAAAGGCTTCTTCAAATAACCCCCCCCCCCCCTCCCCAAATATTTCAAGCCACTACCACAATTCTAGAACCATCTCCTATTACTCATTGCAGTACCAATAACCACCATGCGTTGTTCAAACAACAACAGGAATCACCACCATCAATACCGGCATCGGAGATACATCAACAACGTCCAAATCAATCACCACCACCACCACCTCCTCCTCCCCTCTCCTTCACCCACCACCTCACTTTATCATCCAACACCAACCAAACCATGCACAACAGAGGCCGTCACTACACCCCAGACTCCCTCTGATACACCACCATCCAACTATTCCCCCACAACAAATACCACCACAACACCAATTTCCACCAATAGACCTGCAATTACTACAAAATCATGTCACACTCCTTTTGAAGACATCAGAAGAGATGGCCTTCATAGTGCAAGAGGAAGCTCCAAACCAAGCACAGCAAGACCAAGTCTTGAACCTGATTCTCCAACAAGATATCACCCTTTGGCAAATGTAAGAGATCATCAATCATTACCAATAATGGCAAGCACAGATACGCCATCATCCCATCTTCTTGAATACATACCCACAGATCAACTCCTCACCATGGTCATTCCATCAACATCCAGTAGCAACTGCTCAACCACCAATGTCAACACAGATGCAACACCAAGTGATCGACAATCACATTACCAAATCTCCGACCGCTTCCCCACAGTAGGAGAATCAACATCAAGTAGAAGAAGGCAACGGCCTGCCGGAGACCTTCATGGAATCAATGATTTTGAACGACTTCTTGACGATCTCCATGTCAGAAATATAGAAAAAAATACCTCATTTTTACCCCTTTAAATCTCTAGTAAACTTCCTTGAATATACGTCTAGATCACTTATCCTTGGAAGAGAAGTATGTGATTCTCATGATTCCAACACTTCAAGAGAATCTGCTACCAGCTGCTCTTTACAATCCTCCACACCTATTAATGCATTTGGAACTTTCACTGGCACCGAAAAGGAGCACCCACATCATGAAGAATTAGTGAAGATTATGATTTAGAATTGCCAGGGAACTCACAATCAAGAATTCTGCCGGAACCTTAGATTCTTGTTCACATGGAATAATCCTTCCATTCTATGTCTTACAGAAACAAGGATGGGAGACCACACTGATCTCCTCATGGAATTCAACTACACTGATTTAATTCAAGTTGCAGCACAAGGTCATTCAGGAGGAATTGTACTTTTATGGCGAGCTCACGATTTGGTGTTCAACCCAGTGGTAGTTACTAGCCAAGAGATTCATGCTTCTGTAGATGTCAATGATCCAAGAACCAACCACCCAACAACTTAGCCATTTTGATGCCATTGGCATCACTACTGTCAGTATCCCCCCCCCCCCCTCTTGTTTATGTTTCCTGTTATGTTTATGTCCTTACTTGCACGCATGTAATTTTTGATGTAACTAGTAGTAGCAACTCTAACAATCACCCATGTAATTCTCGTACTTAACTTATCAATGAAATCCTCCGTTTGAGCAAAAAAATCATTTGTAACGACCCAGATCTAATTGCTAAGCTATTGTCCTCTTTGGCCCGATCCTCTGGCCCACCTCAAGGCTTTCGGGCCTTACGATTTTGACAACTTGAATTTTAATCCAAAAGGTGCCTCAAGTTGAGCTATTACCCTTATATGGCCCCCAAATTTTCATCTAATTTCGAAGTGCATTTGCTTGAGAAAATGTTTCACAACGAACTTCTTTCGAGTTCAACTGTCAGCTACTTTTTATACTTGGAAGTATATAAAAATATAAAAATCATACTCTCTATCCCAATTTGTTTGATGCATTTTGGATTTCGAGAGCATAATGAGTTTTTCTTTAATCACGATTCTGTTTGATCCAAAATTTAGATCCGGTTCAACAAATTAGATTTAAATAAAATAGAGTCAATATTAGCCAATATTAATATCCAAAGATATTTTAACTGATTTTTGTAATAAGATAATATGTGTGTTTGACCGAATGGCAATAAATGTGAACAATACTAACAATATTAATGACTCAAAAGGAGGAGGAAAACATTAAATAACAATAAACAGCAAGGAATGGCATTTAAGTAAATAAGAACATGTAAGTCACCCGAAAAGGGGTGAGATCTGTGGATATTCCTTCCGACAATGATGAATGATTGATAAGCCTTCGAACATTCAGGTTGTTCTTGGATCAATTGAAAAAGTTAGGCAAGAATCTTATTAAAAAGATATTTTTCGTGTGCTTGCAATAATGCCAGATTCTCTCTATAAAGTCAATGTGTTTTCTTACAACTGAATATCTTATTTCTCATATCCTTATGTCTCTTTCTATTTATAGGGAATATTTACGTAAAATACCCTAATAGTACAGGTACAGAGAATATCCACTAGAATATTCTCCTTTGATGTCTTATCCTAAAACTAGCCGTTATTCACTCTATTTACGATGAGTGCTCGACTTCAACCATGGTCTTCGCTGACTCTTTGATCTTGATATTCGCTGACTCTTTGACCTTGATCTTTAATAGCTTCGTCAGCCCTGCCCTTCACTTCTTAAGAGATCACTTCAACCTTGGGCAGGCCTTTATCGAAGTCGTACTGGCGACATGTGGCAGTCCACGAGGGCCTCCTTAATGCTAAAATGGTTTGATCATCTTAAAGGTAATTTTGGGACGAAGGCTGCTATGCCTTTGGCTTCTGCCCCCATTGCGATCACTGCACCTTCTGTACCTGCCCTTGCCTTGGGTACTGTAGTCCAATAGCCTATCTCTGTACCGTCTGTTGCTTCTGCTACTCAACTTTTTTCGCTGGTTGACGAGGACAATGATGTCTCCCTTGATGATGGGGATCTAATGCCCCGTAAGAGGAGAGCCGTAGATGTGGGATGAGAGAAACCAATAGTCATTAACTTAGAGGAAGGCGATTTCGTTCTTCGAGAGATGGCCGTTTTGCATGTTAGAGATAGCACTGGGATGGATTTTGAGGCCCCGCACCTAGAGGAGGTGAATGTGGATGCACCAGTGGGTCCCGAGGGGGAGACGCTCGAAGGGGGGCGCTTGACGACGGCCTCTCATTTTCAAGGCAAGAGGATGCTTCATCCTCTAGGGTTGTAGTAGATGTCTCCTCTTCTACTGGGTGACAGAGGGAAGACCATTATTGAGGAGGACGGACGCCGGATCTAAATCTGATATGGATCTGGACGAGTTGAGGATGACTGATGAGGGACTTACTCAACTTGAGGTGAGGTTGGAGGGGGGCACTAGGACTATTACAATCCCAATAGATCGTTATCTGCCTGTAAATACCAAGAAGGTAATTCTTGCCCTTGGTCCTCTCTATTCTGAGATTGAGGGTACGACCCTCGAGAAGATAAACGACGGTACCCTGTCGAATAACATTGTTAGTCTCGCTCTCACAGTAAATACGACTATCGTCTGTTCCTTTCCTTATGCCTTAGTTTCTTTGCAAGTTCTAACATTTTTTTCTTCGTTTTGTACATGGTTATTGTAGATATTGAGAGTGCTCGGCGGGAGAAGAGGTGTAAAGAAATTTACGTGAAGCTGAAAGATAAGTATATGACGTGCCTCGGAAAGTATCGGGAGCCCCAGGGTCTATTTCATGAATGTAGCGATATGCTGGCCTTAAGGGAAGACTTGAAGAAGAGGGATGAAGAGTTGATGCAGACCGTAGAGAAGTGTAGCGTCCTCGAAGAGACGTTGAGGAGAAAAGAGGAGGAGCTCGAGCTTAGTAGAGGTGTAGAGGCCCAATGTTGTGACCTTCAAGCCCAAGTGGTCCAGCTGCGAACCCAACTTGAGGAGTGCCAGTTCAAGGCGAAGGCTCTCAGCGGTGAGATTTTCGAGAAATAGGAGGAGCTTGAGAAGGCGGAGTCTTCTCTGTCGGAAGCTCGGAGGCGGGTGGAGTTCCTTGAGTTGGAGATTCGAACCCTTCGTTCCGAGCGGGATAATGACCTGTTGACGGAGAGGGCTAAGGAGCACCGGCTTGAGGCGAGGATCGGGGATTTGGAAAGGGAAACCTCCGATCTTTATGAATGAGTTGCTGTTTTGGAGGCTGAGAAGGCCCAACTGCCTGCGCGACCTTCATTGCCTAATGCTTCTGTCTTCCCCAATGCCTCTTCTGAGCTGTATGAAGAATGGATTCATGCCGAGGCCCAACTGGATGTGTTTCATGAGTTGCATACGACGGGCTCCGTTTGTGGGACGACCTTTGAGGATGCTCGGGTCAAGGCTCATGAGGCTCGACTTGCTTGTGGCTACGTCCCTGCTACGTCTCGTCCTAGCGAAAAGGATGAGAATGGAGAGGATGCCATGGATCATCTTGAGGAGGATGCCTGGTACGATTCTATTTACCCTCAGGGCGAGGATGGAGAAGACGCTGAAGGTCGGGACGCTGATGTTGTCGATGGTCAGGGTGGCAACGTTGCTAAAGGTCGGGCTGATGAGGACGTCGTGGGTCGTGATGGTGATGGCCGGTAGTTCTTTTTTAGCATTTTAATGCCTTCCTCCTCCTTTTGAGTCATTAATATTGTTAGTATTGTCCACATTTATTGCCATTCGGTCAAACACACATATTATCTTATTACAAAATCAGTTCATATCTTTTGGATATTTATAGCGGCTAAGATTGACTCTATTTTATTCAAATCTAATTTGTGGAACCCGGATCTAAATTTTGGGTCAAATAGGTTTTTTATATGTCATTTAAATACTTTTAATTATTAATTATTGTGACTTATAGTACTTTTAATGCAGTTTCTAAATATATATATTTTATTTTAAAAATAAAAAAGTTTATGTCTTAATTTACTGTCAAATTGAAGAGTTTAATTCTCGAAATCAAAAATACATCAAACAAATTGGGACAGGGGGAGTAGTAATTCGAATTACTCCATCCGTTTCAATTTAGATGACAAATTTCACTTATCAAGAATCAAACTATGTGAAGTTTGACCAACATTTTAGAATTTTTTTTTTACCGTATTGACATGAGAAAAATTGTAACTTATAGTAATTTTCATATGGTTATTAAATATCTAAATTTTAGTTTTAAAATATTAGGTTGAAGTAATTCAATTTAGCTTCAAAGTTTAGTCAAATTGACTCTCGATAAGCGAAATGTGTCATCTAAATTGAAACAGAGAGTATCTAACTTATCATGGTACTATCTATATCTATCTCTTTAATAATCATAATGTAATGGACTGTTGGCCCAAGTAAAGGTGAAGTTTTGAAGACTGACAAAGGAACTCAGACATGGACCAGGTCCATCTTGTGAAGCACAGTTATGATCAACTCAAACATGTGAGATGCACGTGAAGGAGATAAACCTAACATATCAGAAGTGTTATCTCCTGATCATGATCGAAAAGGTTGCATATTGGATAAGGAGAAAGACTCCTTACACAAAGAGAACACGGTTTAGGGAAAGGATAGAGTTAGAGTATGAGATCAACTAGAACTCTTCCACCATGGAAGAGTAGCGTCTATATCCTAGGCAATTAGAAGATCAACTAGAACTCTTCCACCATGGAAGAGTAGCGTCTATATCCTAGTCAATCTCTAATTGCTAACTCCTTAAATATTAGTGTTGTTCTCTTTTACAGGTAATGCACGTAAGCAGAAGTTAAACGTGAATTGAGAGCAAAATAGCAAGGCAATTTCGCAAGCAATTTATGTGTGATTCAAGCGTGCGATCCTGAAGCTACTTGAACCAGATAGAAGAATCAGTTCCAAGTGTCTATCTTTTATTCTAGTTCAATTGTAGTAGGTGATTTTACGTTGTACCTTTCAGCTTATTTAGATGCAATTGTATTAGGTACTTAGAGTTTTCAAGTTAGAGTTAACTTGAAGTTGTCGCAACAGTTGAGGCTGTGTGCCACAACGGGATTAGAGTTAATCCTAGGTTTACAAAAGAGTTTTTGTAAATGCAGTTTTGGCTCAGTGATTTTAGTGGAGAGTTTGGGAAAATCCTACTGGAAGGTAGGTCGTGATTTTTTCACCTTTTGAGCCAGGTGTTTTCCACGTAAAATCTCTGTGTTCTTTATTTTCTGTAGTTATTACTATGCGACAGTAGTAGTTGGAACACATGGAGGAACCAGGTCCTTCTATAATCAAGTTAAGCGAAAATTGGATACCACACAAATTACCCCTCTTGTGTGGTATTGACGTATAAAACATCATGGACTAGTATATATTTGTATCCAGCCTGTTGTTGTACCTGCAGTTTTACACACTCCCCAACCGTGGAATAAATTTCTGACATTGTTAAACTTCTTGTTAGGAAGTTGACAGATGTGAAAAATGAAATGTAGCAGGTATAAAATCTGTCTGGAATTCAATGGTAATTCCTATATGTTTATTATTTTCCTACCAATATAAATGTAACAGCATATGACATAAAGAAAACTTAACTAAACAAACAAGCTGAAGTTGGTAGGTTCTTTAAGGAAAAGGAAAAAAGAAAGGAAAAGTGGGAGAACAAAAATGCAGAATTTTCTTGATTAAAAAAAGTGTAACAAAATTAGTTCAAAGTTATAATATGTTAAATGAAAAGGAACAAAAAGGGTATTTCATTTTTAGCGCCAAAAAAATGAAAAAAAAATAATAATAAGAAATCACAACACAGAAACTAATGCATCATAGATAAAATAAAAATCTGATTTATATACATCTTCTAATTAGACTAATTAACTTGATAAGGGATATTGAAATACTTTTAATTAACCAGATTAAGATACTTCACACAGAATAAAGAAAAGCTTCATTAATGTCTATTCCTGATTAACCCTAGCTTCTTTTGCAAGCAATAGTTATTTCATCAAAGGGAGGCTTAGAGCAATGGCTAAGTTGTCTCCGTATGACTTATAGGTCACGGGTTTGAATTGTAGAATCAGCTACATCAAAGTATATGTCCTACATCACACCCTCCTGGTGTGCAGGTCTTCTCTGAGCCGTGCATGAAAACAGGATAATTTGTGCACCGGGCTCCCCATTTATTTCATCTTAATACGCAGATTGTTGAAAAAAAGGAGAATGATATTCTTTGAAAATTCTACTTATCATCCTTGTATCAAATTATAATACACTTATCTAACTGATTTGTTTGACCAATTCAATGCAAGATAACAACAACAACAATAATAATATACCCTGTGTAGTTTTACAAGTGAAATCTGGGAGGGTAGTGTGTACACCAGACGTTATCCCTATCTTGTAAAAGTAAAAAGACTGTTTTTTATAAACCCTCGACTCAAGAAAAATAAAAGTAAAGTTAGGGGGAGAAGAAAGTAAACCCTTCTCCTAGAAACTAATAGAAATCATAAAGAATCGAAGAAAGCTAAGTATATATAAATCTTATTGATCTATCAATGAGAAAAGCTTTGCCATTTTTTCCCTTAGCTTCTTGATTTTCTCTGTGAGGATTTATTATAATTTGATTACTAGTTTGCTCAGAGTTGACCTAAATGATTGATGATCTATCTATTCATGCAAATCAAAAAGAAGAAAAAGAACAATAAAAGGGAAGAAAAACTTTCAAGTTTGTTTCTCTATATAATTTGTATAATTAGAAGGATGATCACCTGCTACTTGGTCTCCAAAATCTTGTACTCAGCTGCTTCAAATTCAGAGATATCACCATTTGGCTTGCTCATACATCAGAGGGAGAAAAATAAAGAGCCTTCTCTAGGTGGTGGGGTGGGTTTGGGGGTGGGGAGTGGGGGGTGGGGGGTAAGAGCAGGAGAAACTGGTGTATCTTTTTTCTCTAGATATTGGGAGGCTTTTGTATCATTTGTCAAACCATGGAATTAATTTTTAATGCCAATAGTAACTCGCACTGGGGCGAGAGTCGAGACTGAATACGAATTTGCGTTGGGAAGTCCCATAACGAGGAATAAAGCGATCCCTAATAAAGGTGACTCTATACCAAATGCTCGAACTCGAGAGACATCTGGTTAAGGATATGTATTCTTACCACTCCACCACAACCTTTGTTATTATATACTCCCTCCGTTTCATATTAAATGAGGTACTTTCCTTTTTAGTCTGTTCCAAAATAAATGACACATTTCTAAATTTGGAAATAATTCAACTTTAAACTCCTCATTTTACCCATTTTACCTCTAATGAGAAGCTTTTATAACCACACAAAAGTCATGGCCCCACAAAGCTTTACCCCTTAAGCTTTTAAGACTACAAATTTCAAAAGTCTTTCTTTTTTTCCTTAAATTCCGTGCCGAGTCAAACTACCTCATTTAATTTGAAACGGAGGGAGTATATTTTTATTACTTGCTCTCGAATCTGAGATCTCCGATTAAGAATGTGTACTCTTACCACAGCACCACAACCTTTGTTAGTATATATTCTTATTACTTGCTCTCCCCGTTCATTTTATGTGAAGATGTTTGAGTGCTGAACATAAGTGTTAAAGATATTTTTATATGCAAATTAAATATAAAAATATTCTTTTAAATATATGGCTACAAATATTTTGCATGCAGTTTAATTTTTCTTTCTCCTAAACGAATTTTTTTATATCAATGGGCTCCAACAAATCATGTCAGTAGATTAAAATAGAGATGCTAAGATTAAATAATTTTTAAGAAGGTAATGTATTATCCTTTTTGAGACATAATTAAAAAAATGTATTATATAAAATGGGATAAATGGAGTAATTTTTTAACAGAGTTTTACGTGATAAAAAATTAAGAAAAAAATAGATTAATTAAGAAGAAAGAACAAAAACATTGGAATGATATTGGTCGTTGGACAGTCCAATTGGTTGCTCATTATAATGCAATAATTCCTTATTTATGGATACAGATGACACTAGTCAAACTGTTGGGTGAAATCAATAATATATATCATGTGACTTGCCCAAAAATTTAATCTTTATTTAACTCTTCTAATTTCTAAATCTTCCTTTGACAGTTGTCCCCTATAAATCTCCGTTTCCATTTGCATGTGATTATCCTAATTGTTTGACCTTTGTTAGGAACAAGTAAATCTTTTTCCTGATTAAAAGAATTAAAAGTTATAACTAATTATATAGGAAAAATGGCTTTGTACAACCGCTGTAAAAATAACTGCCGAAAAATGTATAAAATTTGTATATTTTTTGTATATATATACATTTTGTATCTTATATACAAATTTACTTTTTCAGCTACCAGATGTAAATAGTTTCTGGTGCGGGCTAAAATTGATAATACCCCAATTATATACACCAGACAGTCACTTAAAAGCATTTGCAAGTAATCCTTTATAAAACTTGGATTTGTAATCTAACATCCTGTTTGGATGTTTTTTTTTTTTTTAAATTCCCAGGGAAATTCGCAGTCGTTATTCTTTGGGTGCGCACTGGGTAACCTGTTCACTATGCCATAGCTCGCAAATCACACAGAAAATATAAAATAATTATTACTTTAAATACAATATTTGTTTTGATTGTTATTTTCTTATTCTATCATGTTGTTAATTCCATTGTTATATAACTATGAAAAGACCCCTTTTATGTAACGACCAATTTTGTATGATCAAATCGTTATATTATTTTTCTTGTCTTTCCCTTACTATAATTTTATTTTATTTTTTACCTTACATTTTTAAATAATTATTCTACCCCATACTAAATTTCTTCTTTTTTTTTTCTTTTGAAATATTGTGCGTTTATTCTTCAAACTGCCGGTGTACACTCCTAGAAAATGGCTATTTTTCGACTGCCAAAACGGTCTGAATGCGGTCAAAAAATGCTACATTAAAAAATGATATGTAACAACCATCCGTACAAGCTATTAAAAACAACATAGATTACTTATTTTAACATAGAGAGATAATTTAATAGTGTAAAAATTCTTTATCACGTCAGTTTATGTAAATTAAACGAAAATTAAAGAACTCCAATTAGTAGAGTAAAATGTCGTACTCATGTGGCTATAGTCTAAGAACAATAGCTAATGAGTAGGTGTATCTTGTGAAGGCTTTCTCCTCCTAAATGTTTCAAATACTTTTGATTGAATTTCAATTTAAGATACTTTTTCGTTTATTCTTTAAGAATTTTTTATTTACGAAATTGAATGAGAATGAATATGATTCATTATATTTTTGTTGGCCGAGTAATGTAGTAAAGCTGGCAGGTGCATTTTTGGGAGTGTTGGAACCATTAAGTAATTGTTAATGATTTAATGATTGAATTCTTATTTACCAAATATATATATATATATATATATATATATATATATATATATATATATATATATATATATATATATATATATATATATATATATATATATATATATATACTGTATTTACATGGTATAACTTTTCGCAAACGAAGTGAATTTAATTGAATAACTTAGCTAGCGTTTGGCCATAGCTCCCAAATTTATTTTTAAAAATCTGATTTGGGTGAAGTTTGGTTTGAAGATGAAAATGTGTTTGGACATACGTTTTCAAAACATATTTTCCAATTTTATTTTGGAAATTCATGTATATAATTCCCAAGTTTTGGGATTTTGGCCCAAAATCAGCTCAGTAGCTGATTTTGGGATTTGAAATTTGGGATTTGGGATTTGGCCAAAATATGGGCAAAATTTATGGCCAAACATGAGTTTTGAAAATAAATTCCAAATTTATCTTGGCAAAACTCATGGCCAAACAGGTCCTTGATTCTCTAAGGTAGGTCGGCTATATTCCATAAGAGTCATGACTTCTATATAGGGAAAATTGTCCTGTTGATACAGGTTGTATTTGTTGCCTAACGAATACAATTGACACAGTTGTATCCGTTGCGCGTTTAAATACAAGTGATACAAGCTGGTAATAATTAAACAGTAGTTACGAATGATAATTAGGCAAATAATAATTATTAGGCTCTAAACTATAGTGATTTATGAAAATTCCCCTTTTTATATATGTGAACTCAAAAAGCGGACCCTGGTGTCTAGTCCAATAGGAGTTTTATGTAAATTAAAGATGGTAAATTAGTTGAATTTTGTGTACCCATAGGGAAGTACAAGCTCATCCTCATAGTCTATTGTCTAGGCTTCCTGTGCCTAGCTGAATTGGCTAGATGATTGCAATTGTGAGAACTATCTATATTAATGGAGCATATGGTTATCAAAAGGTTAGGGGTTAATTAGACCTAGGTGTTGACACATACTTGATACAATTAAAATAATTAAAAGCGTTTTTTATAAAAAACGCCGTATCCGTCTCCGCAGAGATCGTAAGACATTATCGACTTCTCGGCACTGAAAGTCATTTCCGGAATCAATTATTGGAAAGTATCAGTTTTTCATAGTGATAATGACTTCGTGCGAAAGTATTGATTTCCGTTCTCATGGTGGCAAAGAAAAAGAAAGAGGAAGCGCTCTTGTTCTTGTTACGCGGACCCCAGAATAAAGAAAGATGGAAGGGGAGATTAAATCTTAAAATGAGTTCTTCACACAATTTAAACACATAGTATAGGTAAGAGATTCTGGCCAAAAGGATATTTCAGCCATGAAAAGAACCAAGATCATACGTGACGCATCGTGTTGAGATCTAATACAATTAAACTATTATAAACATATATACTTTCTCAAAAAACTTAAATTTTTATATAAGGTGATCGTAGAATTCAACACTAGGTATTGCTCCGAGATTGCTAGATCCCTCCCAACAAAAAATATTAAATGGTAAATATTATGAAAATAGTCTATGTTCAAGAGTGGTAAGTACTCCTTTATTTTTAATCAGCAGTCTTGAGTTCGAGCCCTGGTATGAAATCGCTGCCGAGTTCGGATTTAGTTGAACCCCAATACAGATACCGGACACCGAGAGTGAAATAATAAGAAGAAGATAGGAATTTATAAGTACTTATCTTCAACATTTAATCTCCTACCAAAACATGGACTAAGCCACATACCCAAAACTAGAAAATCGCTATCACTACTAGAAATTCGGCACAAACCGACCAAGAAAAACCGACCAACTTCGGTAAAAAAATCGGCCAAAAACCGACCAAAGTTGGTCGGTTTTTCAAAATATTTTAATTTTTAATATTTTTTTACGAAACCGACCGACTTTGGTCGATTTTCTTTGGCGCAAAAATGCGGGAAATTATTTTTGAGTCCCGGGAAATTTATTTTTTAAGAAATCGACCAACTTTGGTCGGTTTTTGCAATTAAAATAAATAAAAAATAATGTCAAAAAAATCGACCAACTTTGGCCGGTAAATTCGGCCGGTCATTTTAAAAAACCGACCAACTTTGGTCGGCAATTTTATTTTTTAATGAAACCGACCAACTTTGGTCGGTTATTTTCGTGCGAAAATATAATTAAAGAGTATAAATAAAAAAAAGATAATTTTAAAACAAAATGCACCAATGGTCTAGTGGTAGAATAGTATCCTGCTACAGTACACACCCCGGTTCGATTCCCAGACGGCGAATCTTTTGATTACATAATTAAAATACCGACCAACTTTGGTCGGTTTTTTTGCAATATTTTTTTTGAATTTAATTTACCGACCAACGTTGGTCGGTAATTTCCGACCAACTTTTGTTGGTATATTAAAACAACCATCAAAATACCGTCCAAGCATATTTGGTCGGATTTTGGTCGGTAATTGTCCATAACCGATCAAAGTTGATCAATTTTTTTGGTCGGTATTTACCGGATTTCTAGTAATGTATGTTCCTAGCTACTCTTAACACGTT